ATGTATCAGAACGGTGGTGGCCACCCATCACTCACCCCATTGACAGGCCCAGGGTCTGGACTTAACATGGGCCCGTCTACCTCATCAAGTTCATCGCCGTATTCACATGAAAACTTATCGGCATCTTTCATGCACACACCCTCTACACCGGTGTATGTCCCAACAAATCGCCCCAACATACATGGTGCCCACATGTCTGCCTATGGAATGGGAAATGGAACTGGACAACCAACACCTCCCTCTTTGAATGGGACACCAACTGGGTCTTCCATGTGGCAGACAGACAACCTGTGTATGCCATATACACCCCCATCTGCTTCATCCAGATTCGGGTTCCCTCCAGCGCAGTCCAGCCAGATCATGTCGCATTCTGACGCTGCAGCTGCAGCTGCTGCTGCTTACGCTGGTACAACTCTTCAGCGAACTCCGGCTTCTTTAAACCCATATTCTCCGTACATGAGAGCTGATTTCAACGCTTGGAGCAACTTTAGTAACATGGCTCTTCAAGGCTTCAAACAGACTATTGATCAAGGTAAGTCTGACCGTTTACCAGCTGCAGTGTTGATTCTTCTTCTTATATTCCACGCCCTATGGCGTTGGTAATTATGCCAGCTGAATGTCTCTTGGACTTTCAATAAATTCAGCTCCCCCCCCCCCCTCCTCCAACCAACAATCTTCCTGCGGCACTAGAGCTCAATTTCCTTAACTAACCCCCCCCCCCCCCCCCCCACACACATACACACACACACCAGCAATCTTCCTTAAGCACAAGAGTTCCATCACTTGATCAAACCAGTTTAAATTCTGTCTCCCCCTCCCTCATGTAGAAAACATAATCACATCAACATATAATACAGACAACATCATTTAGCCTAACGTTTTTTTTTTTTTTGCGCATGGGGTGGGGGGGGGGGGGGGGGGTTGTGGGAAGGGGAAAAGTGGATCTGTGTAAGAGGATAGATAAAACAAGTTGGATCTTCTGAGTGAGGTCGTCGTTTGTATGGCAGACGCAGTTGAACTATATTGCTAAGTTGATCACATTAAGTATAACCAACATGTTTTTTTTCCCAGCAAGTGGACCATTCATGTATGATTGAAACTGATCAAAATAAAGTCAGTTATGCAAATCAGATTGTTAGGATTCAAATTTTTAGAAATTTCTCATCTTTTGATTATGGCGACTGAGACCTCCAAATTACAAATTATAACATAAGTCAAAATTCATAAATCAGATTTTGGGAAGAATTATCCCCCCTTTCCCCCCGTCCCTTTTTTTTCCGGGTGTGTCTTGGTCGGCAGGATAACTCCAAGGCGATCAGTGGACAGAAAAATCTTTTTAAGGACCTCGAATCCCCAGAAACAGGAACTCCACAGCCAAGGAAATTTATAGAAGAAGCTAAACTCAAGAATCAATAACTGAATACGGAACACCCTAGATAAACATATAGCAAAAAAAAAAAAATATATAACGGACTAGGACAATAAAAAATAACGCACAATAAGGACGGAAGATAAAAGTGAACAATAATCTGATTCGTCCTTTTTAGGACGAAATTTTTTGTCATTCGAAGCCCTACTCTGGCTTTTGCCAGGGGCCGCAATATAGGCAGGCCATACATATGGCCAAATGTCTGAACGCGGTTTCTGGGACCTCTCCACGGCGATCCTCATTCGCATGGTGGCACTTTGTGTCATCGGGTGTTTATCGCTTGTGTGATGTCCTGGTGGGGTAGAAAGTCAGTCAGTCAAAGTGAACAATCAGTATAAGATATTATGAAAAAAAAAAAAAAAAAACCATACATATACTTCAGTAATGGTGTCTTTACATCCAATGGTAAAATAGACAGAGAGATCGAAGCAAGAATCCAACAAGCCAACTATGTCGCATACCAGCTTGCCCCAATTTTAAAACACCCTGCTGTCCCAGCTGAGATAAAAAGACAAATTATAAATACAATCTTTATACCGACATTAGGTTATCAATGTCAGACTTGGACATTAACAAAAGAACACGAGAGAAGAAAAACCACCTGTGAAATAAGATGTTTGAGAATGGCTGCGAATAAAACCAGAAGAGATCGAGTGAGAAACGATGTGATTACAAGGTGTCCATACCATCCAATTTATTGAGAAGCAAAGAATGAAATGGTTTGGTCACCTAATGAGAATGGAACCAACGATGCCAGCATCAAGAGCATACAACATGAAAATCGAAACAACAAGAGGCAGGGGAAGACCAAGAAGAAGATGGATTGAAGGAGTCACTTGAAACTCCCGACTTCATAACATCACGGCATATGAGCGACTGAGCGCTCTGTTGTCTCGGTTGCCGATCATCTGATAGACTGCGACGCCTAGCGGCACAAGCAGATTTTGACAAAAGAAGAAGAATGGCTAAACAACAGAAGATGTGGTCAGATTAAGATTCACTTTAGTATTCCGAGGTATCTGCTTGTGTGTCAACAGGGGAGATAGTTGACCCATTCCTTGATTAGCTTTGGCACATCTGGAGCTAATTTCTCTGTCCAGTTTTCCGTCTGATGTAAAAATTGCTCCCAAATACTGAAATTCCTCTATTTGTCTCAATGTGTTGTTTTTTTTAAATTTAATTTCTAAATTGTCGTTATGTCTTCCTATCATCATTGCCTCTGTATTCGTAGTGTTTTTTTTTTTATATTATATCCCTCCCCTTTGTTACTAATTTGATTTAGATGGTTATGGATAGGGAGAGTAAGCCATTTAATATAACACACAAACCCAATCTTAGCTAACAAAAGTTGTGGCAAAAAACATAGTTACTATTGAAATCCAAAGCTCCTTCTTCAGAAGGAGCTGTTTGTACGTGACAATATTTGGTTTTTTGTTTCATCAAAAACAGACGTTCAGGATTTGAACACAAAACCTTCGTATCTTCATGGAAATTATCTATTCAGGAACAAAAAGAAGAAGAAGAAGAGGAAGAAGAAGAAGAAGAAGAAGAAGAAGAAGAAGAAGAAGAAGAAGAAGAAGAAGAAGAAGAAGAAGAAGAAGAAGAAGAAGAAGAAGAAGAAGAAGAAGAAGAAGAAGAAGAAGAAGAAGAAGAAGAAGAAGAAGAAGAAGAAGAAGAAGAAGAAGAAGAAGAAGAAGAAGAAGAAGAAGAAGAAGAAAAGAAGAAGAAGAAGAAAAAAAGAAGAAGAAAAACAGGAAAAAAAAGAAGAAAAAAATAGAAGAAGGAGAATAGTAATAAGAAGAGGAAAAAAGGGAAAAGAACGAATGAATTAGGAAGAAGAAAGAAAAAGATATTTGATAACTAATTTTTCTATATCCAAGCGAGCCGCGGTAGCGCAGTGACTGGATGTTTTTCTACAGGCTCAATGGTCTTGAATTCGTATCTTCGTCGAAACGCATATTTAAAACTGATCTGAGTAGAAATTTCCAGAGCAGTGTAAAAATGTTCCTTGACAGTACTTGTCTGTCCCTATGGTCATGCACTGCAGGGTCTTCTGGGACCGAAGAGTTAATTCCCTAGTGTCAGAGCTTGTGCAACACGTTCACATGGATGACCTCTGCTGGCTGTTGCACATTCCCATGACGATCAGTCCCTCCCAGACACGATTGTTCACGTCTCAACCAAAACAATTACACCCATCAATGTCCGCCTCGCAGTTGGATTATAATCGAACGCTAACGACCACAATCAACTATTTGGCATACACGAGCGGGCTGGCCCAGTACCCGAGCTAATTAACTCGTTACTGCTAGTGGTCTGGTTACACGCCTGGGCGGGAAGTTTCAGCCGTTGATCTCCAGTGTCTGCTCTAATTAGAGGCTACGGAAAACGCAGAACCTTTGAGAGACCGTTCCTCAGGAAAAGTGTCATGGCGGCTAGGCGCCCGTAATCATGTTTAGCAGTTCTGTTTTAAAATGTTTGCTTATAAACTTCTTATTTTTTCAAATATAATATTATATTTATTAATTGTATGTACATTATTATTATTATTGGTATTTATTATTATTTTTATTGGGAGCCGCCATGGTCTTGCGGCTAGACCCTCGGCTGCAGATCGGAAGTTCTTGGGCTCGGTTCCTAAGGAGGACGGCTTTTTTTTTTTTCTTTTCAAAAAGAACCTAGGCACCCAGGTCAACCCAGCCTTGAAGGTGTACCAGGTACAGTACTGGGAAGTACAGACGGCCGGCGCGATACTGAACACCTCACCCACTCTGTGCCGTTTGGTTATTCTAATATAAGTCTAGCCCTCTATACTCAATACGACTTAAATGCGTGGAGAAGGTCCTTTACTTTTACTTTGTATTATTTTTATTATTTACTTGACAACTTTCCACTCCAATATGAGACGCCATTTTTTTTCCAATTTTAAAGCCCCATGCAGGTTGTCGGCTTGGGGGCCCTAAAAATAACCAAACTGTTGAACGGAGTTTCTGAGCACAAACGATCCTCATCCAAATGGTTGCAGTTTGTGTCACCGGGTATTTATCGTATGTTGTGTGGCACCGGTGGGATTGAAATCACTCATTCACTCACTCAGTTCCCTTGAGCAAGACCCCCCCCCCCCCCACCTGGACTCGCCCTGCTATTCTTACATAATTTTGTATCTAAATAAGTCAGACCTGTAAAACTCATGTACATGCAAAACGCAGGTTCCATAGCAAGACCGGAGTCCAGAAACGGACGAACAACCAGTACTTTCCGCATGAGTTTACAACCTGTTTACGCTGAGAAGAGGAATATGAGTCCATTACAACACATAATACACATAATATATCAGATAACATATCTCAAGGAGAATATCTGAAATATGAGTCAAACTAAAGCAACCTCTTTTGGCGCTATTTGCCGCATCGCCATATGGTGCTATACCTACTATTACAAGATCAGGTGGTACTGGTGGGCATTTGGTTTCGTCACTCCCTACTCACAAACACGCTCAAATACATTTTGTTGTTGTTAAAGACTGAGATTTTTGCCACGTTGTCAACCCACTCATGCCGTTATAGCAGTCCTTGTTTAAAATGTGCCTCAATCCGGATTCGAATCCAATGACTTGGCGCCGGCTGGTAATCGTGTAGCACTGGGCCACTGCGGCTGTTACATAGTATATAAAAAGCCGTATAATTCTATATATATTAAGGGCACCATCTACTTTGAGACAATAACAGTGAGAGTAATGTCAAGGATACATTTCATGCCAGTAGCGATGGTACATATGATGCTAGCCTCACACTGTGTACACAAATAATGGCTGATATGGTCAGTATAAGGCCAGCTATCTTCAGTTCCCAGAATATTGTCTTCTGCTTAGTTTAGGTTGGGTCCGCCAGGAACCATAGTCAGTTGAAAAGTCCGTCTCCATTTTGTTTCGAACCTAGCACCTTCAGACTCACAGACGAGCATCTAGCCACTCGTTACCCCAGTTCGCACACACTATGTGCCGCCCACACAATCAATGATGTATAAAGTGCTCACAGTTATTGTTTTTGGCAATTCTTCGCGATCACCAGCTGTAAACTACGGTTGAATGTTCTGGTTCTTTG